AATTTTTTTTTTTTTTTTTTTTTGATGTTAGATGTTTAAGTAAAAATAAAATGTAGCTTTTCCCCTTCCTTCCTTCCTTGGGTTGGGGTGGGAAGGACCTGAAATAAGATGTTTACTGGGGCCAAGAATTGAAAATTAAATCTGCACTTTATAAAAACAAAAACTATCATCTTTTTCTCTTTTTGTTTTTGTTTTGCAATACTGTAGTAGCTAGTGACCAAAACTGTTAACGTTATAAATGTGTAAGCTGGGTGTTGGGATGAACATCAATAATCCCAGCCCTTGGAAGGCTGAGGTGAGGCAGGTGGATCACTGCAAGTTTGAGTCCAGCCTGGGCTATATAGCTAAGACTGACTCAACAAGTCTGGGGGTGTAGCTTAGTGGCAAGTGTGAGGTCCTGAGTTCGGTCCCTGGTACAAAAAACAAAAACAAAAGTTAAAAATTTATAATGTAGAGATAAAATGGGAATATTTTGATACTCAACAGTTTCAGGTAAGGAATTATACCCTCTCATTTTTTCCACTCCAAACAAAAGAAAAAAGCCCTTTTGCAAGATTTTGAAAGACGTCTCCAGGCCACAGCTTCGTGTACGAGTGACTAAACCACCTGGAGCCTTTGCCATCTTGCTCTCTCCCTTTCATCTTGTTTAGTGTACACCCGTGGCCACCCTGAGCCATCCGGTAGATAATTTGCTTTTTTGCCCCTTTAAGCCGTTGTGAAACTCCTTTTTACTCTGGGCAGGTGTGTTGAGACCTTTCTGCAGCACCTCTGGAGCCCTCTTGGAGCCCTCTGTGCCACGCCTTGCGGGTATCCTGACTCCCCAGGCACAATCTGGGTGAGAGAGGACCAGCCAGCAGGCAGTCGTACAACGGAGGTCAGCGCCAGGCCTGGGCAGGAAACTGCTGTGGGAGCACAGGGCAGGGGCACCCAGCTTAGTGCTGTGGATCCCTGGAGGCCCGGTGGAGGCAGTGACCGATGCTCAAGTCAGCACAGCAGAGGGAGCAGCTCTGATGGAGGCTCAGAGAAGACCGCAGCCCCGGTGAGGGACTGGATATTGGTGCACAAGGAGGAAGGGGAATGGCAAGAGATGAACTAAGAGAAAGGTTCTTCCGGCCACAGGAAGGAATTTAACCCTGACCTGCACGCGCCGAGCAGCCGCCTGAGCGCTTGCTTCATCGAGCCCCTGCCGTTTAGAAGGGGAGCGAGGCTGTAGCCAAGCAGCACCAGCAGATGGGGCTGTTGCACCGAGCTGGGCCCGCAGCAGTGTCTTGTGTAGGGAGTTCGGGACAGACTAGCTCAGGCCGGTCTATGAAAGAGAATTATGCATTCGATATGAAATGTCCCCCAAAAGGTTCGTGTGTTTAGAGGTGGGGCTTTTGAAAGGTGACTGAGTCATGGGGGGGGGCGAACATCACTGCCAGGTGAATTCACTGATGAGTTCTCAGCTGAAGGAGCTGATAGGCGGCGAGGCCTGCGGGGAGGAAGCAGGTCGCTAGGGGCGCCTCTGAGAGGTATCCTCCTTTAGCTTTTTCCACCCCCCTCTGCCTGTAGGCGGCTCGGAGGTGAGCAGCTTTCTTCCGCCATGCCTCTCTGCAGTGATGTTTCTGCTTTGGAGCCAGGAGACCACGGATTGAAACCTCGGAAGCCATGAGGCGAAATAAAGCCGTCCCTCCGTGGTGTGTGTCAGGCACTGTGTCCCAGCAACAAAACGTGTGCTGCTAACTCTGGTCACAGCTGGGCTCGCGTGTGAGCGGGCTGAGTTTGAGGCATTTATGGGCCATCCAAAGAGCCAAGTGCAGCGGGCAGCTGGGTGAGGGTCTGGGACACCAACTGTGCATCTCCAGGACCAGCCTGAGGGCCCAGCAGGGAGCAGTGCAGCGTGGGGAGGGACACTGGTGAGCGAATTTAGCAGGACAGAAGCTGGGGCTGAGACACAGTGACAACTCACTCTGGCTGGGAACAGGCTTTGTGCTTTTTAATTGAGGTAACTGCAGCAGTTTAAACGCTCTGGGAAGAGCCAGCAAAGAGGGAGGCTGGAGGCAGAGGGGTGGTAGGGTACAAAGCAGGGCTCTGTGAAACAAAGGGATGGGCCAGAAGCCTGGGGCGGTGCTCTAACCTGGACAGGATGGGGGTGGCTTCCCTCCCTCTCAGCTCAGGAGATGCCCTACCTCATCTAGGGTGTGCTGTGTTTTTATTTTTATTTTTTTCTGGTACTGGGGTTTGAACGCAGGGCCTTTGCCCTGATCTACATTCCTAGCCCTTTTTCTTTTCTTTCTTTCCTTTTTTTTTTTAAATTTTAAAACAGGGTCAGCCTGGTGTGGTGGCGCATGCCTGTAATCCCAGCACTTGGGAAGCTGAGGCAGGAGGATCGCCGTGATTGAGACCAGCCTGGGCTACATAGTGAGTTCCAGGTCAGTCTCAACTACATAGTCAGACCCTGTCTCACCCCTCCCCCCAAAAAAGAAGACAGGGTCTCACTAAGTTGCTACATTCCCCGGGCTGGGCTCAAGCTTGAGATCCTCCTGCTTCAGCCCCAAGGGTGTTCTGTGTTTTGGTCTCTGCTCAGGAGGCTTTGAGGAGATGAGTGAGAAGTGGTTAGCAGCTGTGTCTCTCAACAGGAAGAAGCTCTGAGGCAGAGAGCAGGCTGCTAGCACCACAGGACACAGAAGTGGACAACGTCCCAAAGGTGTCCAACTTCAGGGCTTTGGGTCCGATGGCCACAGGCTGCAAGCCCGCCTGCACCAACACCAGCAGCCCTGCACCTCCCTTCAGCTCGAGGTACGCAGCCTGGTGCCGGTCCGCAGCACAGGAGCTCCGACCATCCTAGGACCTCCGTCTGATGGCCGTGTCTTACTTCCCAAAAGGGATGACGTCTACCAGGTATGGGGCCACTTAAGACTGAAAGCGTGCTTGGAGTTGGAAGGACGGAGGACTTGAGCATTCCTCACAGAACACACCAGAGCTGGGAGAGCCTGCGAATCATCCCGATCCATCATTCTAGCAGTTAAGAACCAGACAGGGCCGGGGTGAGAACCGACTGACTGAATATGCACATCTGGATTCCCATGCCTCCCAAAGACCGCTCTCGTTTCACCTGTGAGGAGTGTTCTTACCCCGCCCTTTGGATTCACGATCAGACAAATTGTATTAGGGGTTTGCCTATGAAAATGTTACTGCTTCTGGGTGTGATGGCATGTACCTGGAATCCCAGCTACTTGGGAGACTGAGGCAGGAGCATCACTGAAAGTTTGAGGCCAGCCAGGGCTGCCTAATGAGTTCAGGCCCAGCCTGAACTGTACCGTGAGATCCTGTCTTAAATCAAAACCAGGGTGGGGATTTAGCTCAGTGGCACTGAGCCTGCCCAGCAAGCAAGCAATCCCTGAGTTCAATCCCCATATAGCAAAAAAAAAAAAAAAAAAAAAA